TCTTGAGAGACTGAATGTGTGTCTAGTAACTCATCAGCAGTTGGTTCTTGATGAAGTAAAGTTTGCACACAACTTGGCCAATCAATATTTGCTTGCAGCCAATTCCCGTATAGTCTTCTGAAATTATCAATGAATCGATTGGATTTCTTCCACCTCTGTAAAGCAGCTCGCGTGAATCTCCGACAAAACTCTTTCAGAGTTACTTGATCTTCATCAGAAAGGCAATCCTATGGCCTATGCGGGATACAATAGCACCAAACAATACTTCATGATTAAATGAAGTACTCTCACTTTTTAGAAGAACGAACAAGTCTAAATTGGTGATTAAACTTTCGATAATCAAATTTTGAGTAAAGATTTAATGTTAGCAGTTACACAGTTGTGAACGATATGAATTATTAAGCAAAATGTTAGCCCTTTTATTGCAAAAAGTCGATAATTAGTTAGTTAATTAGTTAATTACCCTCATTAGAGTTTAAAAAAATGTGCGCTTAAAATATATATATTTTTTTTAGAACTGAAAGCACAACTAATCAACAAATTAGCTTACTCATCAGAAAAAGCTTAATTAAGTCCATAGTTGGCATTGTTGTGCGGTATTGAGAATCATTTAATCACCTATTCTGACTCATTAGAAGACAATATCGTTGTAATTACTAACTTAATCACTTGTTTTTAGACTCATTATAAAACTAAACAATATTTGTCTAAGTGTGGGTGTACTGTAAACCTCTGCTTACTCTTTGGGAATATAGGGGTGATAGTATTTTATGTTACGTGTTGTAAAAAGTTTGTGTTCCTCAACTCAAAGACTAAATCATTTCGTTTCACATGTAAAATGAAATAAAAATATTTTGACGATTTTTAAAAAAAAACGGCATTTATGACCGTTATCTGGAGTATGCCTAAAAATCATAAATAATTAGTACTATAACCACCTGTAAGGACATTACGGTTTTCCTTGCCGTTTAAAAGATAATTCGATATTTCATACAAGTTTCATACAAATTTTTCGTAAAAGAATTATAACTCCTTCGTTTTTGAACATAATCAACTCGGGTGTCATATTTGTACATAGTAATAACTAAAAGAAGCAATATTCGGCAAAAAAACTGACACTTGCAAATTGAAATCCCTAGTCTATGAAAGCCGATTTTCAGCCCACCGTGAGGCTATGCGATGCTCGACACGCATGTGTAAACGGTCACTTCGCTATTCGCGTCGTGCATCGCATCGCCACTCGTGCGATCGCGTCGTGAGCGGTATTTCGAACACGAGTCAAAGGACACGAGTTTTTTTTAAAGGTGTGCTTTTTTGAGAGAAAAGTATGCGAACTACAATCAATGGTAAATATAAACTCTTGGTATTTCATGGCATGTATCCATATGATTTTAGTAAATATTTATACAATGCATTTTCATTAAAATGTATACAACAAAAGGTTGTTGTAAATTCTCGGACAACACTCAAACGGGGTAATTATCACTGCCTTGGATATTAAACTGGACCGAACATTAAGTTAATAAAACGAGCCGAGTGAGAGGCCTCAATGTAGTAATGCGTCTCTTTCGTTCATGTTTCAGCCAGCCATATTGTTTTTAACTTTTTAATTTTTACAGAAAATGTGGCCGCTTATGGATGACCAAAACTACTAATATTATTTCATAATTCAAATTAATATACTTATATGCTACTTCATAATAGAAGGTTTCATTGTTGATATATTTTTTTTGTATTATTACCATTGACTTACAAATAAATGGACGACGGGTATAATACAAAAACCACGAAAAAATGTCCCAAGTCAACCTATTTAAACGTAGTGACATGTAAAGGAATATGAAAAAGCTAAAACGTTGAATTTAAATTGTAATGTCATCGCAGTACTGTCTAATTTTGCTTGCTTCGCTGTCAGTCGAACAAACGAAGACTAAAGCGTGAATGACGCTCTGTATACGATTTTAACGCCCTATAAGTTCAGACACTTTTTAGCGCTTTGTAAATCAATGATTATTACAGTAAAAGCCTATTACCTTTAAGCTAATTTTATTTAACCAAAATTTAAAAAAGTTAATACACAGGACACTACCTAAGATGATTTTCTTTAGCCTGGCAACTTGTTAGACAAGGACAGACCACTACTTCGAGCTATCTCACGTAACTCGGTTTTTTACTTTTATTTGAAACAAACCTTAACAAAACCCAATAAGGTGTAAGTTTGTAATATTGGTATATTGAAGTGCGCGATCCAGTTTATGAAATATACAAATCCGTGTAATTATATTTGGTGTCAATTTCAATAGTAAAATCTAATGACTAAAATGTAATAAATTCCGTAGTTTTAAAAGTGGTTACATAATAATGATAAAATCACAAACATTATAAAAGAAAAAGCAAATGCTTTGTAATAATTTTTACGAAAAAGATATGGATAAATATTTTAGAACACTGAGTGTATATTTATCACTGGTTGTTCACTTTTTTCTGAAATAAAATTACTTACTACATATTTTTTAACACAACACAAAGTAGGTACTTGTTCTTGGAATATCTAATATTATATATATCTAATATTATTATATATATTCGAAAATTAACAAACGTTTACATTTCATTGCACTCGACACCTACGTATATAAGTACAATGGTATAAAAATACTTACATTATCTTCAGTGTCTATTGTGCTTTCGCAGCCATACACTGATCCCAAAAAATTTTCCATGGCGTAAATATACCGTATATACGAACCGTATAGGTTAATATACATCTTCCACCCCCATACCCGAAATTACAGATTGTTTTTTTCTTACGAAGATACGCACGAAAATTTGCCATTAACTTCTTCGCTTTCAACTCATTGACTTTTTATTTTAAAATTATTATAAAATTATATTAATACGGTTCCATGCATCGTTAACTTTATGTTTAATTTTGTGGTTTGGAAGTTTTGGGTTTCAAATGAGTTCTTCGGTTTCATACATATATTTCTAGAAAATACAAGACCCGCGCATTACTCCAATCCATTTTGTACCTATGCATTATCGCTTTGGGAGCTAGCAGTTTATTTATGTATAAAGTACTCTGTGGTTTATCTGAAGCGGGACGAATAAGGAATAGTGTAAACGCGGTGTGAGAACGCGGCAAAGAATATACAAAAATATAGGTATTGATAACTAGGCATAAACTGAAACGCAAAATTATACTAGCAAACTCCATGAACGGCTCTTCGTCGTTATTGAAGCAGCTTTCGCCATTCTTTTTTGAAAATTGTTGTCCACCACACTGGATTTACAAATAATTCCTATTAATAAGCACTCATAAACACCTCGAAAACGATACCTATAATTATTGATTTTATTTGAAAAGTCCGGTACGCTATTTTGGATTTAGAAATAAATGCCACATTTATATGTAATGATGAGAATGAGCACCCACTACAACATCGAAGACGATATCTACATTAATTATAATTTTATTCTATCTAGGTATCTATTATAATTTTGAATGGCGAAAATTTAACCAGTACTCGCAAACGCACCCCGCCCCGGAGTGCGGTACTGAGAGGTAGGCGAATTTGGGGGAAGGGGAAGAAAAGTTTTTTTACACCCACTGCAAACAAAATATACGTGCCCGCCGCCACTGGCGGTAAATTCAAAAAAAAAATTGTAATATCTCTATACCAACTTTTGTTCTGTTTCTTGTCGGTCTGATAAAAATTAGGTACATACATATTCCTAAAAGTTTTATGTATAATCAAACCATATCATTTTATATTAATTTGTGGTTTAGTCAAACACCACAGTTAACACGTAAAACGTTAGGTTTAGTTCAAAGAGCATGTAACCACTCCTTTTATTATCACTTAATTGCACACTGCATCTTTGTTGCTATTTGCAATCATAACGAAATGTTTTTTATTGTATAAAATCATGGATAGCGTTACAAAACGTAAGAGGAGGAAAACACGCAAGTGTCTTGACGAATTAAGGAAAAGATCTCGTCGTTATACTGTATATAATTCATTAAAAAGTAAATCCCCACTGAGGATGAGCAATAACATAGCAAATGAAAGGAGTGAAGAGCTCGTGAAATTGAACAATAATTACATAACTTCCGAACGCTTAACAATATCTATGTTTCCTAAAGCTATTCGCTCAGAAACCATTACAAGACCAATGTGTTCAAATGTAATACAAGAGCCTAAGTTAAGTATAAAAATACCAAAAGGTAGTACCTTCTGCACTGTGACATCAACATGTTTTGAGGCAAAGGAAAACTCTGATGATGATATTGATTATATTCGACACTCTGAAGATAATTCAAAAGACGTTATTGAAAGTTGTATGCGACACAATACCCAGAAAAATTGTAGTGACTTAGACAATCAAGGTAATACCTCAACTGAAAGCTATATTTTATTTAGTCCAGAGGAACAAGTGAGGGACATTGATTTTGACGAAACTCAAAATGAAGCGGCCTCATTAGTGACCACCCCAAGTTTAGTAAGTTCAGAGGAAAACTACAATTATCATTTGTATGACGAATTTATGAAAGAAGTGCCACTGTATTTAAAAGAAAATGTACCAGCTCTTACTAAAGAAGATGTAACTAAAAAGGCTAAAACGTATTTGCACAATATATACTTGGAAAGTTGCCGGCAAGAGTGTGAAAACAATATATTGCAATGCATAAAGAACAATATGTTGAGTGGGAGCAACAGATCTAATATAAGCAGAGAAGCTATAGTACAGAATCCTATGGACTACCTTAGGCTAGGATATGCTTGGCGTCAAAACAATCGGCATGTACAAAGCCCATCTAGAGACCGCCTTAGCTCACCAGGTTCGCACACCACCCCTCTCAGTCCAACTGTGAACTCTGTCATCCATGACACTCCAGACTATGATTATTATCCTCACAAACTTAACTAGCAATATGTCTTAGAGGTCAATTTAGGAGCAGTAAAAGTTGAATTATCTTCTATATTGTTTTATTTACAATAACAATACACAATTCAAATGAAACTAATATTTTCTAGCTCTTTAATCAAATCCATATGTTTGAAAGATTCCGGACGCTTGGAAAATTTTTGGAGCAGTTGTGATTTTACTGAATCCTTGTTATTGTAGTAAATCTGAAACTGGTTGGCCAAACACTGTGCTTCTTTGCCATTTAGTACATTCTGTAAGAGATTTTCATCAATTAGCTTCATTATTATATTATAAACGAACTTGTGTAAATTTTTAACTACAGCAGTGATGCTTGAACTTTACAAACTTACTGTATATGTATAGTAACTAGAATTATTATAATATAGTCATATAATTGAGGCGCAAAAGAGGTGTAACCTACATACATTTTGTTTCTACAGTATTACTTTCAATTATTATAAGTAGTAAAGTTCATAATTATTTTATATTTGAATACTATTTTCATGTATAAAAAATATTTAATAAATTATAAAATTAGAGTCCAAATATAAAATATTTATGACTATAGTCATTGACCTACCGACAAATGGACGACGAGTTTTTAATGTCTTTTTTGAAGACAGAGTAAAGTAACAGTTCATTGCCCAAGTTTTGCTCACTTACAAGCAGCCAATGATTGCACTCGATAAATCTTCTATCGACTGAATATTGGTCACGCTTATGTAATAAATAGCCGAACTGATTCATTTGAATCATCCTCGGCCCATTATTCATCTCATTATAAAGAATATAATATAAAGAATCGTCGTTTTTTATAAAAATTGTTTGAAACTGAATAAATAAAAAAATTACAGAGCACAGGGTCATTCGAATTGTCAATTTTTGTAAGTTCGTACATACATACATACATACACTGTATTTATAACTATGTCTATGAAAAATACGAAGAGAGATATATTTCAAAGTTATTAATTTTAATTCATTTTAGGTAATTAATTCCACCTATTCTTGTTAAATGTATATGAATAAAAATTGGATTCGATGCTAGTGGGCCATCTGTCAAAATAAGAATAAAGAAGGCAATTAACAGTCATTAGAATGTCGTAACATTCACAAATCAGTCATTTTTAGCAAAGTTTCATTATTCTTTCACAATTCATCGATAAAACTGTCGACAACAACTACATGACTATCTAAAATTTTATGAAAACCTTACAACCCTGCAAATGTCCTTTTATACCGTCTTCAAAAAAGACAAACAAGTTTTGACTGCAAAAGACTACCACAGTGCCAAACATGGCTGCAAGATCACAGCTGATTTTAAAACATTTGCACAGTAAAAATTGAGCGCAACAAACGAGATGAAAAGACATTTTTTGTTTCACGGTTTTCGCGGCGACGATTAAACGACAAGATAGCTATGTACGCAATTTCATATCGTCCTTGTTCTTCAAAATGTATGACAATATTTCATTACCAAATAAGCAAACTTAGATTCATCAACTGAATTAAATATTGTCACGGGGAGGTTTATCACACATATTCTGCGATATTGTGGCCGTAACATCGTATGTCATCGTACGTATGTCTCGTATTTGTATTATTAATACACATACTTCTAAAGAAGGATGGCGACATCCCGTGTACTTTGTGACTCAGTGTTTTTGAAGACGCCATTAAGGAGACCTATCAATACTTGTGATTCATTATCAAAGCATCAAAAAAGCTAATTGAGTACAGCCTGTAGAAGCTGGGTCTATAAAGTTGATATCGGTAATGTTTATTTTTAAAACTCGCGTCAGCACAGCGTCGCATTGTTTGCACCTCACGAGTGATTTAGTTATTTTATGTTTAAAAATACCATCTTGTGTTTTTAAACATTGTAAAATTGTTCCCAAAAACAAAAAATTAGATGGCATATCTTTTCACAGGGAACTACTGATTATTTAAGTGTTTAATAATTAATTTACCCATTATTTTTCGATTCACGATTCACTCGGAATACAAAACCTCGTGCTCGACATAAATCCGTATAGAAATAGTTTCCTTAAAATTTGGTAAATATGCGTGGGTGATAGGAGCATCGATTAATTTATACTTTTATATAGAAATTAAATAATGCGTGCGTTTACATACAGGCTGGTCCATTTACAGCGGTCCAAAATTGTTTTTTAGGTAACTCAGATTTACCGAAATTATTCTCAAACCAATGTCTAATAGCCATAATATACACAAAAGAAATTGTAGCCCTATAAATACAGAGAAATTTTATTGTTGCGTGCACGTCATAAACGGAGTGATTATGAAAGAAAAGGTGTGAATGAAATAAAAAAGTGATTATAACGTATTTATACATAATTTCACAGGATCTAAAGAGTTTCATTGGCAACTAAAGAATTTTTGTCTAATTAGATCGTCGATACTATGGAATTGATCACAAAGTTAATTTAATAAAAAAGTATTTGATGGTGCAATTGCACTTCATATCAAAATCAGAAACGAATGCTCGATGTATAGACGCGAAACGGTAATATTATAAAAAACGTGTACAAAAATAAAGGTTACTAAGATATTGTGTAACTGTGATTGTAATAAATATTTTGAATTACCAAAGATTTCAATTTTAAAATATATTAATAAAATATTTTTTTTCTTTCTATGGAATAATAACATTTAAATATTAAGTTATATTGCATATAATTTGATTGATATTCTAACACCACTTAAGTACCATATTGCAAAATAACATTTCTAGTTTGTAACATTAGTATAATAGAAAGCAACAGAAAAAATTGCGTGAGTTTTTTCGCTGCATCTGGTAATCTCACACGCACACAAATGCGAATATCCTACAGCGCCCCTCCTATTTGTCTCGCACACAATAAATGAAAAAGCGGCTTCACATTGACATTGGCAAGAGGTCTCTTATCAAAACGTCCCTTTGCAACTTTGATTATCTCTCATTTGAATATTGTCTAAATATTTTTGTTACATTCTGTTTTATTTTTTGCTTTATGTCATTAGTCTTTAAATGATTATTTCATTAGGTATTTTATAGCTTTAATGTTTTATGTGTATTTTATAAAATAAACATTACTTCAGGTCTAGAGCATATAGGACTGGAGGCGTCATTGATAGGCAATTCCCTCTGTCAAGGTACAAGCACGAAACAACTATCGCACAATAAACATTACTTTCAAATCGATGTTTATTATCGAATACACCGCGTCAAGTGCTATGTCGTCTTGCAAAATACAAACTTGCAAAAAATCTCTGCTACATCCAGTATAGCCAAGGATGGAATTACATTCCATTTATACGTCTATTTTTTTCCTTGATTACTTTTTAACACTTTTTTTTCACAATGTCACATTGATTAAATTTATCGATAACGTAAAAAATATTTGAAAACATTAGAACATAGCATGCCTATGACATTCTTTAATTACTGACAGGTAACCACAGACAAAAAATTCAATACTTCATGAACGCTGTTTTTTCGTTATAGAGAAGCGAACATGCTTTTTAGCTCCGATTTTTATCGATACATTATGTAAAGAAGTTTATTTAAATTGATTTATCCGTCTTATTACATAATAAATAATAATGTAATAAATTATAAATATATAAATTAAAATTAATTATTATTGTTTTAATATAAATCATCACAAATCATGCCGTACTGTAAAAATAAAAATTGCATACACGCGAACACACATACAATACAGTTAATTACAAAAGCAATCAAATAGCTAACTGTCCTTATCCTACTCAAGACTTGCGCAAAACCCGTTACGTCAATTTCAATTTTCGCATCACAAGTGATTATAGATTGATTTAGAAAGAAACTATAGATGATTTAATGTTATCTTAATTTTAAAATGACTTTTTATTAAATGTTAGTCATAAATAACTAACAAAATATTGTTGTATTCGTTTTACTGTTCGGAGTTATCAATCAAAAGTCCGAAAATAAATTTGCCCGAAAAATAATGTTTGCTCGAATTTTTGTAATCCCAAATATATTTTTTTGGATTATTTTAGGAATATTACAAAACAAACTAACTTAATCTTTTCTTTGTAATAAGCAACTAAAATCCCCTGAAAGCATAACGGTTTTGTTATAAATCGGTTTTCGAGATTATGAAACTTTGAGTTTACGTTTAGTTGGAATCTAGAAATTTGAAACATCGATACATTTCGTACAGCACGTCAGAACTACCAACAGAGACACAGCTATTTTCACATTTATAGTATTTGTATGTACCTATATGTATATCTGCACAACTCTTATTACGTGAATTCGTATTAAATTCAAATAATACCTACTAAAAAAATAATTAATAATTGACATTAAGACTACTCCATCACTCTTGTGTTCAAGTAGTTTTCACTAGAAGCTAAGTATGGTGCATTTTGTTATTTCCAGTAAAAGCTGAATACGGATAATTTTTGGGTCTTTAAATTGTGGCAAACAAAATTAAGCAATACTGCAATGACTTTACAATTTAAATTAAATGTTTTAGTTTTTTTAAATATTATTTTACTATCACTACGTTTCGCATGACACTTTTAAGAGGTGGGTAGTTGGTACTTGGTGCAACGGGCTGGTATCCCCAACTCGACGACAAAGCGCCTATTTTGCGTGTGGGAGGTGGGTAGTTTTGACTCAACCAACATAACATACAGGGCAAGAGCATCATGAGTTCGCGCAAGCGTAGTCTACACAGATTGGCAATAACTAGACGTGTCAAGGAAAGTTGTAGTTTTTAGTAGTAGTAGTAATTATTACTAACATAGTTTTCTAAGCATTTGTTGTAAATTCATACCTCATTCAGTTATTGTTTTCTTCATTTATTTAGTGCAGAGTAATATATGTATAATACAGATTTATTATTTCAATATAATGAGACGCCATAACTTCCTGAGCTCGTAGACAAAGGTTCTCAATGATCAATTTGTATTGCCGATAAATGTTACGTAGTGAATATACCTAATTATTAACTAGTAATGATAAATTTGGACACCCGGACCTTTAAAAGTACCTGTCCAAAATACAACATTTTAAGTGCTTTTAATATATTTTTAAAATAAATCGTCAATATTATTCTAGTTAGTGAATTAATGAATAATATAATATTATGTCGACTTAAATATCCAGTGAACATGTTAACTATTAGGATTCTATTAATAGAATTAAAGATACAGATTCGCTTAAGAATTTTTTGCTACGTTGTCGCTCTGACTCACTGCCCTGCCACTTCACGCAGACATTTGCACGTGTGCAGATAGGGCCTTTCTGTATGTAGTAGTAGTAGTAGGTAAACAACTTTAACGTTGTATGGAGTGTTCGAGGTGTGGCCTCGCACTAGGGAAACCCTGTATCGCGGGTGCCATGGACACACACTCATAGACAACCAGAAATTACATCCATACTCACGAGAGAAATAAATGCAGGCGATACAAATATTTCTCCCGGCCCGGGAATCGAACTCGGGTCCTCTGCGTGGCAGTCCAGCATAGTAACCATCGGCCACTGAGGAAGTTAAAAAAAAATAAGACAGCAACTCTGTAGAATCTTTGTTCTAAGCATTTCAATTGCTTTTGGTTTGAACAAATGAAATTGACGAATGGATCTTTTTCTGTCTTTTGCGTATGCAATGTGTAGGAAAAGGATAGCTACTATTTTATTATTTTGATTGTATAGTACAATAAAAATATGATACCAACTGTTCTTTTCGTTTTGCTTGAGTAATTTTTACTCATTTTTACTATAAGTTTTTATTGTACAGTATGGCATGATTAAAAATGACGCACACTCAATGTTTTTTTTTTTTTTTTTTCAATTTAATGCCCTATTGGTTCGGACACTTAAGGGTGCACCCAAAGTCCATTTGTTGCTAGGTCAACTACTATATAATAATTTTAAGCAGGGTTTCTTAACCTTTTTCTAGTCACGGACCCCACTCGAAATGTTAAAGAGCCCACGGACCCTTTCTGAAAAGATAAAATACTAGGTTTCACTTTTACTAGCTTATATTGTTTGCGATTAAACTTTACTGCAGCAACTGTCAGTTGCTGCTCCATTATGTTAGGTAGGCTCACCACGAATCCCTGGCATTCATTACATGGATCCGTTAGGAGTCCATGGACCACAGGTGAAGAAACCCTGTTTTAAACTAATATTGTAGAAAACAAAATTAATGTGTGTTACACCACACTTGCACTGATAGCCTCAATTACAGATATGTATAATAACTATAAATGAAGGGTTAAATAAGTGTAGCACCTGATGTAAGTCACTACTTTGTGTTCACCGGTAATAGCTTAATTGAGAGAGTGAGCATAACTATGAAGTTCATGCAAAGAGATAAAAAGTACCTTGTCATATTCACCACGCATCAAGATTATTCCTTTCTCAGTCAGCTCTATATAGTGCACCATTGTTAGACATTCAGGTGCATTCTCCTTATGCACCTGCAAACCAACAACATCATGACTGCTAGTGCCAGGCAGCTAGCTGTGAATTTTGGACCGGTTTTATCACAAGGAACATAGTGTTGAATTTATATCTTAAATATCAAGCTTGACATGCTTTTCTTTTTAGAATAACGGCTTGACATGTATTGCGAAATATATACAATTGTTTGAAAAGTGGTAAACAAAATCTGTTGAACCAAACATGTAACCCATATTACATTTGACTGTCCTAGAAAAAATAGTAATATTATTAGATCCAACCTGGAACGCAAGCAGCGGTGTGAAATGCACAGTGTGTCCATAAACCTGACTTAAGATAAACTCGTAGCCCTGAGCACGAGGCAGAGGGAAGAGAAATGTGGGGAACTGACGCATATTGTCTCTGATTACATCGTACACATCCAAAGGTATTACGGCAGAAATGACTTCTTTGCCTTTGTGATATTCTTCCCAGATTGTCTGAATCTCAGAGGTGGCTTTGTTTTTGATAAGGCTTGTTTTGAATATTGAATCTAATTTTTTATCTTCGACTGGCATCTCGTCTTGAAGAGGCTGTTTTGGGTTCAACACGGATGAGTATTGCCTATAATCATGAATATTTTATTAGAAAAAAAGAAAATACATTTATTTGACTTACGATACGATGAATAATTATTTATTATTATTATTATTATTAATTAACCCATTATAGATGAATAATAATAAAAAAAAAAACGAAACAAAATCACAAATAAAACAAAGATACATAATTATACGCATAGCCCGGTCACTGTCGTCAATACCTGGTGTCTGGCGAAGGCGCAAACTTGGCGCGGTGATCAGCTTCCGCAGAGCGGTGTGCGCTCTCCACGCGATTCATAAACTCTTCAGGCGAGGTGCGCTGCAGCTGAGCAATGCGGTCAGCATATTTCTCGTAGTAAGGGTTTTGCTGCAGCTTCTCGATTGCTTTTTCCATTGTAATCGAACTTGTATAAAAAGTCCGGAAGTTTACACACTTCAAACGTCCAACATTTAACAATGACCTTACTCCGATTGCCATAAGTCCAAGGCGTTAAAATTTGTACAGTTTCATCCAGAACCCGATCTGCCTCACATCTGCCTTTTGTCAGGTTTTGTAAAAACCTTTAAAATTATTTTTTTTTCTTATTTTTCTTGGCTCTTCGCGGTAAGAGTTTTAGCCACTTTCAAAGTGTTTTGACTAACTTGTTTTTAAAACGGGAAACTTTTATAATATCATGGGTTGTAATATGGTTGTAATTTGGAAACGGGATTCGAAAGTTGGAGAAAAAGTGAGATAGGAAACGGGCGAGGAATTCTGAGATGTAAATAAACATGATATAAATAAAGAATAATTATATTATTATTCTAATCTAAATGGATATCTTACAAGTGCCTGAAGGGCACTCATAGAATCCGAAAATATTACGGTCTTTTTAATTTAGCCAATAGAATATATTCAACGGATTTGTACGACCCGAAACATTCTCAAGTGAAAACAGAATTCTCAGGAGGAAGCTTTATATTTATATTTTATATATAATAATCGGCGAAAAAATTACAAGATTACGATGAAACCATTTGAGAATTTTAATCTTTATCAAAATATATCAATGGTGAATATCATACTCAATTGCTACAGAGGTTGAAGACCTACAAAATCAGTACGACATGAAAGATTAGGTAAAAAAAGTAATTTAACCTAGCTTAGCAGATGAATGAAATCACGGAACCGTGGTTACCCAATTGCACCTGAAATACAGATTCTGGTTTGCTTACGTTTGTATGTACTGGATCATTAAAGTTAACGATTCTTTTGTGGGGAACTGTAGGTATATGATTTTATTATAATATGATTCCGGAGTATATGTTACGATTATCATTTTCTAAGTATAAAACATACATTCAAAGTAACTTATAAAATGGCGTTTTCAAGTATAATATTTCACCAATGGAGTAAATGATTATATTTTGACTTTGACCAACTAGAATGTTATAATTTAAACTTCTAAGTTGAAATCTAGGTAGTTTCAATAATACAAGTTTGGTTTTGTTGATAGGCATATAGATAATAACAACTTTTCTTAAACACTGCATTCATTTAAAAATTTCCAATAGTATTGTGGCGGCTTTAGACGCCGCCGATTATCACCGGTTGGCTGTGGCAGTCTCATTGGACGAGAGTCGCCAAGGAGAGTGTCACACTTGCCGTAAATGTTTGACAGTTTACATTTACGTAAATGCACGAAACTTTATAATTATATCGCCATTCACGAATTTCACGAGGCCGTTTTATTGTTCGTTAGGGGAGCGATAAATTCCCCAAAGTATTATCATAGTAATTTAGGAATTATAGCGATCATCGCCGCCAGTGTAAAGGCCCATTTAGATGGAGAGAGTTTCTCGCACGCTTCGTGACGAAAACTCGTAGGCGATTATCGTAAGCAATAATCGCCATAAGATTATCGTATCATAATGTTTACATTCAGCCAAGAACTGAAATCTCGCCTACGATTATGTCATACAAGATTCGCAAGCAACTTAATCGCCTCCTCGACTGTTTACACGGAGAAATATGTAGTACGGAGATCCTTGCTTACGAGTTTTCGACTTGTCTAAACACGATCTCGTATGACATTTTTTCAAGTTCATACGATTATCGTACAAATCGGTTCGAACCGTTTTGAGTGCGAGAATTGCCATTCGAGTTCAGTGATTACTGCGGTATTGACTATGTATATATCAAAATGACGCAAAAATCATTCAAATTTGAAACTGCTGATAATATTAAGTTCATTGCACTGTATAGAAATATATTTTGTATTATAATTTGTTCATATAATAGGGGTTAAAGT